AGCCACCTCATTCTCTGTTGTCCCCTTCTTCTCTTGCCCTCAATCGTTCCCAGCATGAGGCTCTTCTCCAGTGAGTCCTTCCTTCTTCTCATTAGGTGGCCAAAGTACTTGAGTTTCATCTTCAGGATCTGGCCTTCTAAAGAGCAGTCAGGGTTGATCTCCTCTAGGACTGACCGCTTTGATCGCCTTGCAGTCCAAGGGACTTGCAGGAATCTTCTCCAGCACATAGTTCAAAGGCCTCTATTCTTTGGTGGTCAGCCTTTCTTATGGACCAACTTTCACAGCCATACTTTCACAATTTTACAAACTTATGCTATTCCCCTGCTTATCTGTATTGCTTGTTTAGGAGAAACAGCCCAACTTTGATGAATAAGACTTACACTGCAGCAGTTGTGTTGAGCGTGTCACCAAGGAATCTGAAACATAACGTCCCATCTCATCTACACACCAGCAGTGACCTGAGACAAAGAGCAAAAGCATGCATTTTGGAACCACTTCACATCGCAAAGAGATGCTCCTTACAATACATAATAATAGGACTTAGACTTATATACTGCTTCACAGTGCTTCACAGCCCTCTTTAAGCCCACTCTAAGTGGTTTACAGAGTCAGCATCTTGCCCCCAAGAAGACCATCTTGCATGGGTCCTCATGAGGAGGAAAAAGGAGAATGAATGTAAGGGGGAGGAGAAGAAGAGGAAAAAGAAGAACAGAAGGAGGAAGACAAGGAGGAAGGAAAGAGGTAGACAAGGAGGAGGGAGGAGAAGGAGAAAAAGAGGAGGAAGGCAAGGAGGAGGAAGAAGAGGAGGAGAAAGGAGGAGGAAGAGGAAGGAGAAAGAGGAAAGAAGAGGAAGAGGAAGAAAAGCAGGGAAGGAGGTAGAGGAAAACAAGGAGGTAGAAGGAGAAGGAGAGGAAGAGGAAGAAGAATGGGAGAAGAAGAGAAAGAAGAGAAAAGGGGAGGAAGAGAGGAAGAGGTGGGAGGAAGAAGGAGAAGGAGAGGATGAGTAAGGGGAAATAGAGGAAGAGGAAGAGGAGGAGGAAGAAGGAGGAGGAGAGGAAGAGGAACATTACTGTATGTAATTGCTAGTCTCTACAGCCATGGAAAGACCATCAATGTTTACTCAGGCAAATATCTTCCTAAATATCTCTCACCTGTGCTCTCATAGCACTGGATGGCCTCCCAGTTCCCTTGTCCATCACACTGGGGGATATAAGGTTGAAATGCCAAGCGCCGAGCCTCCCCAGGAGAGTCCATGGATGCAAGGAGACTCTTCCGATAAAATTGCAATGCTACAACAAAACAAACATGGCTTAAGCAACGAAGGCAACCACAAAGATGTGGAATAGACTAGAAAGCATGGACCTCTTTTGCTACTGATTCATAAGTAGCTATTATGTGGAGCATTCAAAAGTAAGATCTGATATAAAAAAAGATGCAGAAGGGCGCCTCTTCTTCTTCTCCCTGCTCATCATTATTAACATCTCCAAGCCTCCTTCTCTCTCTATTTCTACAATTGATGCAATCCTGCTTTGTCCCTAGACCTCATGTGGCTTTCTCCCTACCTATAGCATCTTTTCCCCCCGGAAGAGAATATGAAAAAAGTACCACACTTGAGCCTCCACTCTGTATGTTTGCTGAAGGCAGGGATGGGATGGAAAACTTTTAGCAACTGAGTGGCGCAGTGGTTAAAAGCAGCACTGCAGGCTACTGCTAGATCAGCAGGTCAGCGGTTCAAATCTCACCGGCTCAGGGTTGACTCAGCCTCCCATCCTTCCGAGGACCCAGATTGTTGGGGGCAATATGCTGA